GGGTTGGGTAGAAGGGGGCAGGACTGGGCGGTGGTGGGGAACTGGCCTCAATGTTCTGTCTTTTGCAGTGGTTCCGCAGGCCGTGTGGCACTATCCCGGGAAGACAAAGAGGCTGCCAAGCTTGGGCTGTCAGTGTTCACGGTAAACTGTCGGCCCAAATGCTCAGGATCCTGGGCTTGGGGATGTCTGGGGAGACGTGGGGCGGGACTCCCTGGGTGTCCCTCCCTACAGCTGCGCTTCTATATAGCACCACCGCGTGGACAGCGAAGGCCCAAGCACCACCCCATCTGCTGCCAGGAAGAAGCCTCGTGCTGAGGACAAGGCCGAACTGGAGTAAGTTGAGGAGTCTGAATACTTATTCTACCTACTCTGTGTGTGCGCTTTTGAGTCTCTTGCTGGCATCCTATGTGAGTTGTGCACACTGCACTAAGAGTGTATTCACAGGAGATACTGGGTGTCCAGACCCACAGGTATACTGGGAGGTTAAGTGCCAGGTTTGATTTTTTTTTTTTTTTTTTTTTTTTTTGATGGAACCAAGCACTGCCCTTAGTTCTTTTGGCTTTACTGAAGTTGTTGGGCCTCCACCTCCAGGCTGGATGTGCCTGCCCATCCAGATGCCTGAAAGAGGGAGTGTCTCTGTAGCTGCCATTGAGGGCCAGCAAGGGTGATGGTTGCAAACAGGAAGGTGTCACTCAGACAGAGCCATGATGCTGGCCAGTTTGATGGGAGGTGGAGCAGTTAAAATATGAAGCTACAAGTGGTGGTGCTTGCCTTTCTTTAATCCTAGTTGGTAGACAGAGGCAGATTGATCTGAGTTTCCACCAGCTAGTTTCCAGGCCCAGGGATTTAGTTGTGTGTCTGTCTGGTTACTTCTGCTTTTTTTGTCAACTCAACTTTGTACTTAGTGATTTCCTGGCTAGACTACATATCGAGAAGGCTACATATCGAGAAGGGGGGCACCCAGGTTGGCAGCATTCCCAAGGGGAGCTTAGCCTGTAGATTGGATTAGGAGCCTAATATTAAGCTCATTTATTAATATAAACCTACAACATTATCAATGCACAATGCTATGGTGCATAGACCCTGCCCTATCCTGCCTTGCCCTACTCTGATCAAGACTATAACACTGATTTCAGCTGGCTGACTCCAGTTCTTCAAACTTAAGACCATTTATATTCTCTCTTGCAGTACAGAGAGTCACAAGAAAAGCAAGAAAGAAAAGAAGAAAAAGAGGAAGAAACACAAGAAACACAAGAAGAAGAAAGACAAAGAACACAAGAGGGAGACTGACAGCTGCCCATCCTCTCCCTCTCCTCGGTAGGCTAGGCCCAACTCTACCTTGGGGGCACTAAGGAAGTGGGGGGCAGAGCTGGCCAAGCCTACTGGGATGCTTGGCAGCGTGAGAGACCCTTCAAGTATCTGGTTATCCTTGTCTTCCTAGGCCCAGACACCAGAGACATGATTCTGACTTCTCCCCCTGCTGTAAGAGGAAGCGGGGACATAGCCAGGACAATGGAAGGAGTCCACCCCGAAGACGACAAGACAGAGGCTCTGATGACTGAGAATGTGGCTAAACCAAAGGACACCAGAGCCTTGGTTGCCCTGAGCTGGGACCTTGCCCACCACCAAGCTTTGTGGGGTCTATAAAGAGTAGTCACTGGATGCCAATTGGCTACCAGCCCCTTCCCTACTTGCCCAGACTAACCATCCCATCCCTATCTGGGATAAGGCAGGTGGCTGCTCTCTGGTAGGATTCTGAACCAAGCTTGTTGGACCTTGGAGTCTATCTTGCCATTTGGAGGCAACTGATGTGGCAACCACCCCATGTTGCTGAGGAGTGGGGTCCTGGGTGACCACAGCCTGGTGACTGTGTGAGGGTAGTAACTTGCCTTGCCCCCATTCCAAGGAAGATACAGTTGCCTAGGAGACTAAGGCCAGATTCCTGTTTCTGCTGCCACAGTTCAGGCCCTTGAGATTTAGGTGTGTGTGTGTGTATGTGTGTGTGTGTGTGTGTGTGTGTGTGTATCTGGTTACTTCTACTTTTTGTATCAACCCACTTTGTACATAAGTAAATGTATTTTAAAAGTAGAGTGTATCATCTCACTGAGGGCACATTAGGCTGGGAGCCTGTGGTCCTAGCATGGGGCGTCCATCGAGTATACCTGAGGGCACTGGGTCTAGGGACCAGAATCCTGTCCTTGAGACTACCCCAAGGCCAAAGAGTTAGAACAAACTTCTGTACGAATGCATCTGCAACCTGCCCAAGAGGTCCAATCTAGTTCTACCTAAGCAGAGGCAGTGGGTTCCACAGCCATATAATAGCAATTTTAGAGTCTATATACATACATGGGCAGACAGTAGAAATTAGGGTGGATTCCACACAGCAAAGTGTTCTGATTGTAAAGCTTATTTGTTGGGTGTGTGTACTCTTGGGCAGACCCTAAAGTGTCCTGAGACTCAAGTTGTAGCTTGTTTGTTGGCCTGTGCTCTGCAGGTAGCCACCTAAACATGAGTGAAGATTAGTTATCTAAAATACCACCTCAAGGGGGTGAAGGTCTATCCACTTAGGCAGGGACCCACTCAGGACGGTAGACTTTGGATCTCCTAGTGGCCACACCTACTCAGAGATATGTACCACCCCAAAGCTGGCTGCCTACTGAAGGGACAGGAGGCACACCTCAGTTGTCACAAAGCACACTGAGGCTGGTAGTAACTCTGAGATGTTGAGGGGAGCCACCCAGATCTTACTTCTACCAGGGCGTAGAGGGCACCTGTTTTCTCTCAAATTTAAAAAGGGCTCTCTTAGGAGGCAGCCTCGCAGTGGTGACACTGATACACAAGCCCATCAAATAGTTAAGAGACTTTATTCTAATAGCTATAATTACAGTGCTTGTCGAAATGAAAACTGAAAACAAGTATACAAAACAGTTGATTACTAATTGTGTATTGAAAGCAGTAAGAGGTTCCACGACACCAAATAAACCAGTTCTGAGATTTCCCCAAGATAAATTTAACAGCTCCAGCTTCTTCAGTGTTTATCAAAATACAAAAGAAAAAAGTAGAGGTCGTCTTTCGATGGCAAATCGGACCCTTGCAGGCTGAGGGAGAAAGCTACTTCACACATGGAGATGGGGGTGCTCCAGGATGTGGGTCTGGAATGGACTGACCCTCCCAGCTTGCACGCGCTCCTGCTGGTGAGACCCAGGCCTCCTGCCAGCGCGTCCAAGTGGGCCCAAGAGTAAGCTGGGTATGTAGGCTGCCATCTGGCCCGGCCACACACCAAATACAAGCCAGGCCCTGCACCCCACAATGGCCCCCAGCCAACCCCTAGGTGACCATGTGAGCACAAGTACAAGCACAATGCTATGGAATGCAGGTGACCCAAAGACAGGCGAGTCACGGGGGCTCTACTGTGACCATGCAGCGGATGGTGGTTTGTCACCTTCTCTCCTGTTCCCATAGGGGAACAGGTGATCCGATGGACTAGCATTCAGGCCATTACTGCAAAACCTACACTAGGCATAGTCTCCTTTCTGTGTGTTCAAGTGTTCTTGTCCTGTATTTTTTAACTATTTTAAAAAATGCACTGAGTTTGGGTTAAAAACCAACCACCAAATGGATACTGACACCAGTTTACAGCCCAATGGCTCCCGGAGGCCAGGTGCCCCTACACCCAAATCCCTTCTCAGTACTGACAGTGAGTTGATTCTCTTTTTACAATAAAAAAGCTAAGTAATATTGCATAGGAGTACCAGAAACTGCCTCAGTGGAAACAGAAACTATTTACATTAAATAAAAACCTGGCTGCAGGCTGCGTCTGCACATGTACAGCACGGTGCGATGCACACTGTGACCAACCCATGGAGACGGCTTCTGGCACTCAGGACCACAGAGTCGCACGTTTGCCACATGAGAGGAAAGCGGAGGGCGGAGAGGAGGAAGTAAGGGGGAGGGAGGGGTCTGGTTCACTTCTGGTTCCGGAGCTGATTGGACAGCCAGTCTAGTCCTTCATAGAGCCCATCCCCACTGGTGGCACAGGTAGCCTGAATGTACCAGTTCCTGTGGCGTAGAGAGTGCAGCCCCAGCTTGTCTGTGATTTCGGCCGCATTCATGGCATTGGGGAGGTCCTGGGGGAAAGGAGGAATTAGTGGCAGGGACCAGCAGCAGCTAGTCACCCAGGGCATTCTCTCACCCACCCTCTCTCTCTCCCCTGACACAGGTAATCAAGCCTGCAACAGGAAAACTTTAGTGGACATGTTGAAGATTGCCCATCTGGTCTACCCATAGGCTCTAGATTCAGTCTTCCCACTGGCCACAATACAACTGGAAAAGTCACGAGGCTCAGTGAGAAATGCATCCCTTTAAGACAAAGGAGGAATCCACGACAAGAATCGACCCCTCACCTTGGGTGTTCTGGAAGTAATGGCGCCACAGCGGCCGGATCTTGTCCTGGCCACCCACATCCCACACGGTGAAGCTGATATTCTTGTACTCAACTGTCTCCACGTTGAAACCTGGGGGCAGGGTTACAGTTGAGTGCCCTCTGTACTCCAGAACCCCAAATCCAACCCCCACCCTGGCCCTGGCCCAGCCTCTCACCAATGGTGGGAATCGTGGTCACAATTTCACCCAGCTTCAGTTTGTATAGAATTGTTGTCTTCCCTGCAGCATCCAGGCCCACCATGAGAATGCGCATTTCTTTTTTGCCAAAAAGGCCCTTGAAGAGGTTTGCAAAGATATTCCCCATGCTTGTGGACAGGTGGAAGCGATACTGGCCAGAGACCTGGGGAAGCAAGTTGTTCCAGTCCTGTTATGTGCTGCTAGTTTAGGCCCTGTGGCAGGTCAGAGACACACCTACCTAGGAGCCCCCTGCCCCAAGCCTTCTCTCATCCCTCATGAGATCTCAATTCAATCCCAGGTTCCAAGTGGCAAAAAAAGAACCCTGTCCACCAGACTCCCTAAGCATCTAAGGGCCACATACTAGTCTAGGAAGGCACAGATACCAGAAAAGCCCCTTGTATCCCAAGTCTATTCACCTATCAGAACATCTAACTACATCCGTGTACACTCACACTTGGGAAACTGGCATGTTTACTCTCTAAAAAGTACTTTGAGAGACACATGAGGCCCTCTTACAGACTAACAGAGGTCTTCACAAGATCAGAAAGAACCACCTTACATCTCTCTCTACTTCAAAGTAGCACAGATTGCAACTAGAAAGCTGGTCACACTCTAGGCTCAATACTACAGGCCAAATACTCCATCACCCCCTGGTGACAGTAGGACAAGCCCAGAAAGAATGTGGTGTCACATCTCCAGGCATTTCTGTCATCTAGGCCATGGGAGACAGTTGTTAAGGCAATGTTCTATCCATCTCAAACAGCCCAAGAAGGTAGAGACCCAAACAGTAAACCACAGCAGCACATTCCCTTGAAGACCTATACAAAAGGATGCTCCTATGAGGACAGGCAAATGTGAAGACGTGTTCCTGTAAGGGCATGTACACACACTCAGTAGGGTCCACTGGCAGAACAGAAACACTAGAGGTGCCAATCAACTAAGTTGGCACCAATTTACCAGAGCCTATCAGATGTTTAGGGCTTCTGGAAAGGATACTAAGGCTTCCAGGGTTCTGGTCTCAACCTCAGGTGGCCACTTGTTTTTCATCCAAATGGACTCTACTGCATTCTTAAATGCTGTTAGTTCCTAATAGTAACAGCAAATAGAAGGCCATGGAGCCTTCAGAAAGAGATGTGTCTGTGCACTATCCAAGGCTGTTAACCTCACAGGAAAATGAACAAGCATGGTATAAAACAGGGTGACAAGGCTTCCCTGTATACTGTCCCTCTGTGCTACTGTAACAACACCACAAGCTGGACAATACATGAGCTGGACATTCCAAATCATGGCCTGGTAGGTTAGATGTTTGTCTCTAAGTTATGGCCTTGAGCTGTATCCTCCACAGGGGAGGAATGCTACAATCTCATGTGGAAAGTGAGTATGAACCTCTTTCAAAGCCCTTCTCATGACGGTCCTTGTATATTCTTGTGGGACGAACTTTAAAGACCCAAACACCTGCCCAACATTATTGCACTGGAGTTCAATTTCCTATATACAAACTTAAGGGAATACATTCAGATCACAGTCAGTATATTCAAAATGAAGGCTCCCAGAAAGAAGTATAAGAAAAATATAGGCCGGGTGCTGGTGGCACACACTTTTAATCCGAGCACTCGGGAGGCAGAGGCAGGTGGATCTCTGTGAGTTCAAGCCCAGCCTAGTCTACAAAGCGAGTGCCAGGATAGGCCCCAAAGCTACACAGAGAAACCCTGTCTCGAAAAACATATATATATATTTATATTTTGATTGAATGGCTGTAATTTGAATATTTGGGAGGCAGAGGCAGGAGGACATAAAGTACAAGCCTGGAACATGTAGTGCAATTGTCAAAGAAAAAAGAAAGAAATCTGGGCATGTTGAGTCATGCCTGTAATCCCAGCACTAGAGAGGCTGAGGCTGGCAAACTTTCAAGTTTGATGTCAGCCTGAACTAGTATGAGATCTTGCCTTAGAAGAAAAGTAAGAAAACAAAACAAAACCAAGGTGTGGGGTGGTAACGACGACAGGAAGACAGGATGAGAAAGAGAAGTAGAAAGAAGTGAGAAGAAAAGAAAGAAACAGATGGATAGGACAGACTGACAAAACTACAGAGAGGAAACTCTTAGCTAGGTAGGAGGAGCACATGCCCTAAGAGCTGAGGCTTGCTGCCAAAACACTGTGACAATGTACTGCTGGTGGGAGGAAACTCTCAGGCAATAATCTTTAAAAATTCTGAGATTATGGCTCTCAACCTTTAACTCCTACCAATTACTGAATAATTTCAACATGGTAAGGCATCCCCTGAGGATCCAAACAAGGCAAAAGGAAGTGATCCCAAGATGAATTAAGAAAGAGTCTCTAGTTGCCATAGAGCAGGGAGCACACCACTTAGCTGTTTCTGTCATGAGGTCTGATGATGCCGGGGAACTGAGAGAGCAAAAAAGCACAGGCAAAAATCCAAGGAGGCAACACACAATTTACGTCAAGCAAAAAGGTCCAATAGAGGGGCTAGAGAGATGGCTCAGCGGTTAAGATTAAAAAAAAAAAAAAAAAAAAAAGTCCAACAGAAGCAAGTGGCTATCTGCTCAGCAATCAGTTATCCATGCAAAAAATTTCCACCTTCTATCCAGGTGGTGGTGGCACACACCTCTAGTCCCAGCTGAGACTGGCAAATCTCTGTGAGTTCAAGGCCAGCCTAGTCTATAAAGCAAGTTCTAGGACAGCCAGGGCTGTTACACAGAGAAACACTGTCTCAAACAACAATTACAAAAAATTCCACCTTTTTTCCAAGTTATCAAGGAAAGAAACAGTGGTATCCAGGGTGTGCATGGGAAGCTGGTGAGGCAAAGAGGGTATAAGACAGCCCTTTATATTCAGGTGCTGTGTGGAAACCAATAGTATCTGTTATCTGTGGTAGTGCTCACCTATGATCCCAGCACATATAAGGTTGAGGCAGAGTTCAAGAATAATCAATCCTTGGTAATAAATAGTGGGCTAGTCAAGGCCAATCTGAACTACATGAGACCCTGTCTCAAAAGCACCCCCCCAAAACCAACAACAACAAAAACCACAAGAGCACAGAGAGGAAGGGGTATCTGAACCCTAACAGGTCCTTATAATAGCAGGCACACACACACCCTGATAACTGTGTAGTGGTGGGGATCTCAGCCAAGTTTGATTGCATAGCTGCATGATGACTGCCTCATTGTCCATGACTACTGGCGATCCAGTGCTGCACATGATCTGACATGGCCCACAGCTGAGTGTGCTGGGCCTAACCTGCCTTCTCTACAGAAGGGCTATGAAAACCACAGTGAACATTTTCCTTCTTTCTTTTTAACAAGAATCACCAAAAGGAAAAGCAGCCAGTCATACAAGTCAATGGTGAGATGAACTCCAGACTTAAGACACTCAACGAGCAAACATGGGAAGATTCCCCCTGCTACACAGGCAGCCGCAATCAGCACTTCTGCACTGGCATTCTTAAGTGTCCGCATTCTTAAAATCCAACAGCTGATTTTAAAACAGACCCAAACCCAAGAGAGCCTCCACAAAGAGAAAAACCCAGTGGCTACATAGGCCAATCACCACCAGTGGCTCTGGCTACAGGCCAACTGCATGATGCCCAGTCAAGGTGCTGTGACCTACCCCTAGGATCCCACATACAAGCCAAACCTGCTTTTCAGGTTCCTCTGCATTATTCCATTAGCAGGCAGGAGAAAACAGACTTCCCAGAGAGCTATTGCTAGTTTATACTGCCTCCCAAGCCACCAAAGGGAATGCCTACAACCAAGTTGGAATGGGGTCAAGAAAGTTCATTCATTGGGGGCAGGGAGGACAACAGTTGAAACAGCCTCCCCTTTGGCAACCACACTCCTTACACAGTTCTGTCAGTAGAAGGGCCTTCCTGACCTCTTGAGTAAAGATGAGAAAACACAGCTGAGTCCACACCTATTCCACAATGAATGAATGCAACCTGACTGGTTTAGCAACTGAACAGGAGCCTGACTGGCAGCCAGGAGGGTCCAAAGTCCTCACCAGACTCAGACAACCTTCAATAAGTCAGACTGTGCAGTCTTGCCATTTCCCTCCAACTACTGACACCACTTAAAAAGAATCCCTGTGGGAAGGGAGGTTTTTCTGCTCTGGGCTGCAGAATGTTCTTTCCTGAAATGGATTCATACTTACTACCTGGATGAAAAGTTGGTGACATTTTAAGAGTTAGTTACTTTTAAGGAGCTAGAGATGGCTAAGAGGTTAAGAGCACTAGCTGCTGTTGCAGAGGACACCAGTTCCATTCCCAGCACTCACATGACAGTTTACAACCCTCCTCAGTTGTTCCAGGAAATGTGGAGCCGCCTTCTGGCTCTGCATGCACATGATACATGCAGGCAAAAAAAAAAAAAAAAAAGCCGGGCGTTGGTGGCGCACGCCTTTAATCCCAGCACTCAGGAGGCAGAGGCAGTCTGTGTGAGCTCGAGCCCAGCCTGGTCTACAAGAGCTAGTTCCAGGACAGCCTCCAAAGCCACAGAGATACCCTGTCTCCAAAAACCAAAAGAAAAAAAAAAAAAAAAAGCAACTGTCTCACTGACCCCTGGAGTGCACTAATTCAGCTGGAATGGCTTAGTCAGAAAGTCTTAGGGATCCTCCTGTTTCTGCCTCCCAATGCTGGGATTAGAAGTGGGTGTGTGGCTATGTATGTTAAATGGGGACTTAACTAAGGTCCTCATGCTCATGCAATAAGGATGTTACCAACTGAGCCAACTCCTTAGTTTCTCCCTTTAAGACAAATTCACTGCAGTATAAATTACATATATTTAGCCGGGCATGGTGACAGGCCTTTGATCTCAGCACCTGGGAATCAGAGGCAGGAGGATCTCTGTGAGTTCAAGACTAACCTGGTTCACATATTGAGTTTCAGGACAGCCAGAGCTACAGTGAGATCCTATCTCAAAATTAATTAATATCTTCAACCACACAAATCAAAAGTGTATACTCTCAGCTGTCATTATTTGAGGAAAATTACCAAATCTGAAACTTTTCTAAAAGAATGTGAACATAGTATAGAACATTTTTTTAAGCTAAAGTTCTTAGTAAATAGTACCAATGTTCCTGCTGGGCAGTGGTGGCGCATGCCTTTAATCCCAGCACTCAGGAGGCAGAAGCAGTCAGATCTCTGTGAGTTTCAGACCAGCCTGGTCTACAAGAGCTAGTTCCAGAACAGCCTCCAAAGCCACAAAGAAATCCTGTCTTGAAAAACAAACAAACAAACAAAACAAGAGTACCAATGTTCCAACAATGACACAATCAGATACATGAAAACCTGAACTATCCCCAGAACAAAATATCTGTAACTTAAAAGGGGGATTTTTTTAGTCTCATGTGCAACAGGGCAACATGCTGACCTCTGTCATAGTGCTTTTTGTAGTTCAACAGGAATTGGGTATGACTGTTCCTCAGATCTTCATCTGCCCCTCAGCCTTACATTCCAGGCTTGTAGGTCTGGTATGTTCATACAATCCAATACTGTCTACATTTTGTCATTACTTCATAAAATCTGCCTAACAGGAAAACTGAATGTGCTGATACTAGGACAGGCAGGCATTCCTATAAGGGCAAAACTGTCACTCAGCATGTTCCAGGACAGGAGCTGGAACATGACTTCTAAGTTAAGGGAAGGAGAAACTCACTAGGTCTGATGTGTATAGGTGGGGTGATGAGTGAAAATGAAGTTAGAACACTCTTTGTAAACATAAGGTGAACTCCCCCATCAGTGTGTATACCCACAATCATGTAAATCTCTGAGCTGAGTTCTTGAACTACAGTAATGAGAATGCTAAAACTTCTCTTCATGTTATTTCTCCCTTTATTCTACTTTTAAGCATTACCATTTCTTAACCCAACTACCCTCAAAATGTCACCATTCACACTCATAGCCACATTAATTCTATAATTAGTAGCTTTGAGCAAATACTGATTACCACATGTCCTGTAACGAGAACTACAATAGAGTTCATCAAATACAATTTTTGAGATCTGTAAAGGCTCCAATGGGGAAACATCTTGCCATGTATCTCTGTGCATGCAACTGTAGCAGACACCTGTTGTTCTTTGTGTCTTGTCTTCCTCTCAGCAAAGAATCCTGACTGTAACTGGGAGTCAGGACTTCCAGAATAAAATCTACATTTTCTGGAGTTTCTTGCAGCATTGTATGCTCACAGCACCTACCCAGGAGCAACAGAACACACACCCTAATACAGCAGTTTTCAACCTGTGGGTCGAGACCCCTTTGGGAGGCTTCTATCCAATATCCAATAGATGAGATATTTATAATTCATAACAGTAGCAAAATTACAATTATAAAGTAGCACAGATTTTTTTTGGGGGGGGGGGTTCAAGACAGGGTTTCTCTGTAGCTTTGGAGTCTGTCCTGGAACAAAATAACTTTGAGGAACTGTATTAAAGGGTCCAGCATTAGAAAGGTTGAGAACCACTGTCCTAACACATACTACTACCATATTTTTACTTTGGCAGGAGGTACTTATCTCATTAGGAGAACTCCAAAAACATAGATCTGGAAATAGAAACAGCTCAGCAGCAGAACATTAGGTTTGCTCCCCCAAACCATAGAAAAAACAAGAAACACAAACATGCATCAACCTAGAAACACTTCTAAAATGGTGGAAAACACAGTAATAGGACAACACAAGATACATGTGAAAAACCACCATGACTGAAGTCAAGAAACAAGGCTCAGCCCAACCCTAGTGAACCTGCAGCCACTGTTCTGACTAGCAGTCTTCACAACTTAGCCCACCTGACATGGCCTGAGATGAGTCTGGTGCTTCCAGGGAAGAATCCATGCTGACACCTTGAAAGGCCCAGGTTAGCTGTGCCCCCCTTTAACCTTCTACCTTCTTAAGCATGTGGATGAAACATGCACTTGTTTACAGGAGACAATACCAGCTGGCTGTAGACAAGTGCAGCTTGTTTTTGTCATAGACTGGAACTGAGGGGAAACGACACAAGATCTCCCACCTTGACATTCACAGAGCACTTGTTTGCTAACATGTACATCCTCAAACCATTGAGGGCTCCTGCTGAAGCAATGAGGCTGAGCCTCAGGGTGGCTGTGGCTTCTCCCCGGCCACAGAGCTCCACTGTTCCTTAGAGGGCAGAGTAGGCACAAAGCCAAGCCAAGTATCACACACCCAAATTAAACACCACCATCCCTGGGCTCAGGAGGAGAAGGACCCAGAAGAGCTGGTAACCAGGACTCTTAATTTCTGTTGCAAGGCAAATCAAAGTAATGCAGCTTTGCCAGCTTACCTCTTTCTTTATGAGCTCCCTACATGAAACACGCACATCACATATCCAAGGACAAAGAATCTGGACATAGAATCCCAGAGGCCCTTTCCACACTGAAGAAAAAGGGAACTGGAACCACCAACAACTAGTTCACAGTGCTTTCATAAAATAAGCTCTTCCTCAAACCAGCCACAGTGAGCAAGGCACTCTTCTATGCTACGTCCAGTCCCACTTCAGACAAAGAGGCTGACAGCTACAGGGGTACTTACTGTGTAAGTCAAGCTTCAAACTTGACTTTTGATGCCATGATGGCTCAAATCTGTAATCCTAGTACTCTGGAGACTGAGGCAGACTGCCCTAAGATCAGGGCGAGCCTGGGCTATAGTTTGAGATAGTCTCATAACAAAAATGAGAGGCTAGAGATGGCTCAGTTGTTAAGCATTACTCTTGCAGAGGGCCAGAGTTTAATTACCAGCACTTCTATCAGGCTGCTTACAACTGTCTGCAATACAGCTCCAGAAGGATCTGACACACCTCTGCCTCCTTGAACGTTTCACTCAGTTATATATCCACAGGCAGACACACAATTTAAAAATTAAAAAACAATACATATTTTAATGAAAAAACAAAAATCTTTATTTCTATCTTCAGGTGACTTTCATTCAGAGGGTAGGGAGTGCCCTGCCCCCTTCTTTTGACACTTGCTCTTCAGGAGGAAGCAAAAGAATAAAGTGTACGGAAGGCTGAACTGTCACTATGCTCCCTCAGCTTTGCTGCAGTCCTGCCCCACCCTGCTAGAGTAAGGCACACACACACAGAAGGACAAAGACCACATTTCCCCAAGTCCATTGTCCTCACTGAGCCAGGAACTGCTGACCACACACTACTCAACTACTCCCCCACTATCCTGATGGCAGAAAAGCTTTTCTCTAAAACACACACCTGTTGATGCCTCAACTTTGTTGTCAGAGGCCTCCCCTCAGGCAAACCAGCACCGGGGGCGTTCTCTAACAATTTCAGGGTAAGGATCCGCCACGTTTCCATAGCCAGGTATTCCACCAAAATCTCCCTCTTTCCCAAATTCCCACCCAGTTCTTCAGACTCAAACCATGAAGACTTACTGCTACCACCCCCAACTACTCCACAACAACTGAATTAATCAGGTGCAAAGTAACACCTGTGATGTCAGGACCGTCACACACAGTAGCCATGGGACTTTGTGGTGCCCACCACACCCTTCAGTCCACTAAGTCAGCCATCTGGAAAAGAAGCCAATAGATAACCTGACATTTGCACAAGACTGAAGATCCCCATGAGTCTGCCTCAACAATGACATCACAGAGACACAATGGGAAGTAACTTCTAGTGAAACTATGCTTTAATGCTAGGCCCAGCCACCCCCATATATAGGACAAAGGGAGGTGGGAAGCTACTGAGGCACTAAATGACAACCACAGCAATCTCAAGGGCATGCCACCGCAGAGAAATAACCTTTTTCCTGAAAACAGAGAACAACTTTTTGTAAGGCACTGAAGAAAACAAAATGCACTGCCCTTGCCTTACAAGGTAGTTAAAGCTGGGTTCCTGGAAGACTTGGAACATCTGTTACTATTATGCCAAAGAAAAGCATTATCTTTCTGTGATCAAACTTAGGCTATCACAGAGGGATTTTCCATCTACATGAAAACCACACAAGTGGCTAAGTGCCAGAGACTTGCCTCCTTACCTGAGAAGCAAAGGGTTCCTTCCCACAGATTTCAAAATATCCTTTCTGAGGACTACAAAGCTGCACCAGGGACCAGGACCACCCTCTCTTTAGTCCTCCTCTCTCTCACTGCTCCTGGCTGGTTTCCAAACTCCAGTACACTTACTCAGCTCGGAGCCCTTGCATCAATTGTCCTGGGCTACTAAGAAGCCTCTGGTTTCTCCCTCAAACTTGCCAATCTTTATCTTATTTCTGCATAAACGTCACCTGTGAGGTGAAAGTTCTGCCTCCTTGGATAGGCCCCAGTACCTGCCCATGTCACTCTAGGATGGTTGGGATGAACACTCCAATAGCATACATGGGCAAATAGCTTTTCATCCAATGCTAAGTAAGGCCGCCTCCTCCACTAGGCCCCTCACAGGTGACTCCTTATCAGAAGAAATAGAAGTGTTTTGTTTTGTTTTTGAGATTGGGTTTCTCTATGAAATAGTCCTGGCCATCCTGGAACTCACTCTGTAGACCAGGTTGGCCTCAAACTCAGAGATCCACCTGCCTCTTCCTCACAAGCACTGGGAAAAAAAAAAAAAAAAGGTTTATCAAGGCCACTGGGATTTTTTTAAAAATTAAAAAAAAAAAAATCACACACCTAGAGAAGCTAATCCCTTCAGGGAAACTACAGGGCCAACAAGCAATGTTGCATTATTTTTAAACTATGCACAAGTGTGCTTCTGTGTTAACATTCCTACACCAGTAACATCTAGATACTCAGGTGTGCGTCAAACCTACCTCAAGAACTGCTAGCTCTAAGCACACAGTTCAGTTGATCACTTCGGTATGTCCAAAGTCTGATATGACCTTTAACAGAACAGAAATGTTAAAAGTTGAAAATAATGCCAAGCAGAAGTTTACCACCAAAGTCATTAGAAGACAGAGTATTTTAAATATAAGCTCCTGGAATCAAACAAGAAAGAAGAGCATTCTTATCTACAGAACAGGAAGCTCCAGAGGAACACACACTGCAGGCCATCTAGCTCTGCCTTCATTCTCATTCTTCAGCAATGACTCTCACTAAAATCTAGAAACCCTTTTCAACCCTTTTCTTGGAAACAAGCACCTAAATCATACCAACAGAATTTTAAAAAGGGGGTGGAGAGGAAGAAAGAAAGAAAAACTTGTCAGAGGACACATAGAGAATCTGGGCCACAAACTTCCCTGTTTCAGTATAAGCCATTGCAAAAATATTTTGACAACTGATACTGACAAAAAGTTATTGTTTAACATACAGCCATCAAGCACAAGGAGCCTGTTGGAAAGAACTAGTTTGCTAGCATCCCTTTAACATGTATACTTACCTCTATAGATACTGATTAAGAAAGTTTCCTTAATAACCAAGTCTCACTCATGCTATACTGCAGTAATTCTCAGATCCTCAGAAATATGGGGAGCTGTTTACCACATAAACTTAATCACCCCCAACTGCTGTCTATAAAAATATGCCTGCCTAGCATGGGGGCACACACCTGTAATCCCAGCAGGCTGTAATCTCTAGAGGCTGGGGCAGGAGTTTAGGGCAAACCTGTACTACAAACTACACAGTCAAACTCTTCCCCATAAACAGCCTATGTTCCTATTTTCTATCAATTCCTCTTACTACTGAAAACGTTCCCTATATCAGGGCCTGCAGGGAGTGCCACTCTTCCTAGTATATTGGCTACTGACAGGCAGCCAAGCCCTGTTACCAATGTGAGTAAAAATTTCAGGGAACAGGACCAGATAAGAATATTGTGGAAGATGGGCCCTAATTAGTATCATCACTTCTTTGTATATGTAGTAGGACAGGGTGGTGAACACCTAAAAGGTCCTACACTAACAAGTAACACCACAAGCTATTACCTGCAATCTGTATCACAATCAATATTGAACATAAACCTCAGTGTGTAGTGAGAAATCCCAATGCGTGTATATGTGTACACACACACACACACAAACACACACACACAGAGAGAGAGAGAGAGAGAGAGAGAGAGAGAGAGAGAGAGACAGAGAGACAGAGAGACAGGGGAGATACAGCATACACACAAAAGGAATTTTCATGTTTCTCTCCTCACCATCACTGACAATTTCATGAAGATCAAAAGTCAAAGGGATTCATGAGAGAAAATAGGGATGGACAGACAGACAGACCATGAATGACATAGCAAACTAGAGCAGGCAGGGGTCTGTTGGGCTCCTCAGTGCAAATGACACACATAGACAGCCCTTGTGATTAACAGTAGATTTAAACCTGTACATCAAGCTGAGCAGTGATGGCTTAGGCCTTTAATCCTAGCACTAGGGAGGCAGAGGCAAGCAGATCTCAGAGTTTGAGGCCAGCCTGGTCTACAGAGAGAGAGAGTTCCAAGACAGCCAGGGCTACACAGAGAAACCTTGTCTCAAAATAAAAAAACCCTGCACATTAATGTAACACTTAATTCAAGGAATCTGAAAAACATTGACCCAATACTCTCAAACCATTGTTGACAAGCTATTGCATGAACCTGCACAACAAGTTTTTTCTCTTGGTTAGGTTGCCTGACACTGGGTCGTCACCACAGTAACTGCTGGTCTAAGTTACCTTTACCTTAAAAAAAGAAAAAAATAAATAAAAGGTTGTAGTTTGATTCCTGCCTGGTCCTGGGCTGAGGCAACAACCAAAATGGAACAAAGATCCTCTCTACATGGAATTACTGTTCACGAGGTATAGTGGACATCTCAGCTACATGACTTATAACTGTAAATGAGGGGCACAGAACTAGCTATTGCTACCTTCCTTCCAGGATAAGTAGACTGAGTATGAGTCAGCTGTTATTCACAGTTAAACCTTGTGTGTGCAGTGCTAGAGAGCCAAACCATTTATACAAGCTAGGAAAAGCACTCTACCCCTAGCTCTTAAACCTTTCTGAAGTAGCAACTCTACATCTGCCTCACAAGCAAGACAACAGTGTGGTGAACCAGTGAGTCAGACTCATTTTCAACAAGATACCTAGGGATGAAAGCGATAGACATTCCATCAAGAGAAACCTTCATGCCAAGGAGACAATGTAGTTACAACAATGTAGCTCACAAATCTGTGACTGGCCCTTACACCACACAGCTCACAACTCTGGAGAAAACAGAGAAGTCAGAGAGTAACACTCTTCATCAAATCTCACAGTCCAGGCTATGTGAGACAGTGCTGCTGAAAGCTCAAAGGTGAGGACATTACAGGCAGTCACCCATGTCAGGTACTGTAGACACTGGTTAAGACAGAGAAAGGACATGGAGTCAGCACCCAAAGCACCATGGCATCTCACTAGTCTTCTGTTCTACACTCACTGCAGACTCAGCCTGCAGGAAAAACTGCTGACCACTAGTTGTGAAACAAGAACTACAACGGACTACTCCAACATTGGTTGTGGCATCAACTACTGGGCTCTCTGGTGCCTTCTGGGAACAGGAGCAGCTGCCCCTTTCTTTTCCAGCAAAACAGCCACTTGCTGGAAGGGAGAATCCCTCCCACTTAGGTACCATGCAACGGTTCAGCTACATACAGTCCGACACGGCATGGCCACCCTGACTGGACAGCCAGAACTGTACACTGGATCTGGCCTCTTGTTACAAGCAGATTGCTCAGAACCTGGGAGCAGGTTGTTCCACGGCCAGGTTAAAGATTCCCCAACTCAGAAGGGCCTTTCTAATCCACCCAAAGGAGCATCAAGGGGGTCAGTCAAGAGGTAAAACAAGGCTCAACTCCTGCAGAGGCCACCGGGCCCTTGAGTGCAAACCTCAATGAAGATCTCACCAGAAAAGTGTGGGGCACAAATCACGGCTCACTAGGGATCAGAGTGGGCACTTGGGATCCACTGAAATCCCCATATGCGCTTGTTAAATCCA